TCTTCCGATGCGCGCGCCATGGGGTTGTCGACCGCAGCGTCAGAGGGATGAGACCCCCGGGGAGCTCGATGTGGTACGCAAACCCATTATTATGATTATTATTCGCGTAGATAAGTCCTAAGATCTTCCTTCCTCTCGTTCTCTTATTCGACTTCACTTCAGCACGATTCGACGTATCCTCAAGATACGCGCGATATCCTCTGAGGTCTTCGGCAACAAAGTTGAACATTTCGAGCGCGCATTCGAGCTGTGTATTTTAATATCACGCGATTTTTCATAAATATATTTAAAGCACGACGTCTTTTTTATTTAACGCGTAATAAAATAAAACTATATTTGCAAAAAGTGATAAATACTTATCTCGAATAGTAAAGATTTGATGTAACGATATTATGTTGCTACTCTTTTCGCGAACGTTTCGACAGAACGAAACTTTTCGGAAAAGAGGTGGGATAAAGGCCTACGATAGGCGGACCAGAGGGGTATGGGGGGTGAGTGTAATTTGCCTCTAATGCGGCACTCAACATAGCAGCTGGCTCACCGGCCCTCTGCTTTTCCATTCGCCACTCGGCCGCAACAGTAGCGATAATAATAACAATACCGGTAACAATGCCAGGAGTGGCTAGGCATTGTAACACCGCGCCGCGCGAAGGACGGGGGGTGGGAGGGGGGCGGGGGGCCCCGAGGTACTTGGAGTAACAATGCGAGCGCAAAATGGAGGGACACATACCCATCTGCGTGTACCCCGTGTCGAGGGAAGGGAGGAGGCGAGAAAGAGAGAGAGGGACAACGAGATAAATGCGACGCATCGTCACGCGCTCCGATATACACACCGTCGCCATTTATTGCGAAGTTGCATTCGCAAAAAGAGAGAGAGATTTCCTTTTCGAAATGGCGGGCAATCGTTCTCGTCCGCGATTCCGCGAGCGATCAATACCGCACGTTAAGCTACGATTATATAAGAGAATAAGTTATAGCGGAAGAAATTACCGGATATGAAAACTATCATTTACGATTTGCCATATAAGATTCCTGTGTCTTCCAATTTAAGATTAGATATTTGTTTAAAATCGCTGTTCGATCCTTCATATACACACATGGTGTATAACAAAATTTATTAGATTTCAAAGATATACTGATAACACGAAAATATGTTGCATGCAAATCAAAATAGACGTAGTTCTGAAAAAAAAATCGATCAATGAATACCTTGTGAAATTAGACAAGAATAGAAACTTTGTATTTTTCATATACTCAACAAAAAATTGTATTATGAATAATTAATTCCAAACATATATGTGTGCATAAAAACGCGATCTCTATATTTCTGCACGAATATATATTATACAGCAAGATATAAAAATGCGCGTGAATCGTTCTCCGCGATTCTCCTCTTTCCCATATCTCCGATTTCAGTATTTTTCGCGACCACCAAAACTCGTTATCGGGATTCATGTACCGTTTCTGCATTCGTGTCGGGCGCGCCTGAAAATCCCGGCTGATTGCAATCAGACCTCTTTGCCGACTTCCGTACTTGACTCGGAATCGACTCGTCATTGTCGCTAGTGCCAAGGGCTCCCGCGGACGCTCGACTTCCGGTTTAAGGAAGCCTGTCGTTTCCGTTTTAAAGCTCACTCACGGGCAAGCAGCTTTCTTGTCAGACTCTATTCGATCCGAATTTCGTGTTTCCCGTCAAATGACAAACACGTATTTATCTCTAATTAACATTAATAACAATAGAATTTTCGCGAGATATCTTTTATCCTTTAAAGATTGATTACATGGACTTAAATCTTTTCTTCTCGGATATTTGAATTATACAAGTATCTAAATTTATATACGTATTCGGGTAACTTTCGTTGATTTAAGATATTTTCACGATATATATAATCGAAATAAAATACACAGAATAATGCATATAAAAAATAAAATCCAAATGAAGTATACATATTGATTCACAAAGATAAAGACAAAAAGGATATGTAAGAAATGTATATCAAAAACAAAATAAATATTTTAGATTTTGTCAGATTCATTCGAATTTATTTTATCTTTTGCCTAATCTTTTATGTTTTAATTATATCAAAATATGTCAAATATTATCGTGCTATTGAGAGCTGCTTAATTTCATATGATGAATAGATTGTGATATAAATATGACGCCTCTCTTTTTAAGATTGCTTTTATTAAGAAAACGTCCAGTGTCAACTGAATATTAAGACGCTTTTGATGTAAGTTGATTTGTATCGGTAGTATATATTATTATCGTCCATAGAGCGCCACATACATTACACACTATGACAAACGGACGATTCGACATTCGCGCTTATTGTTTTCAAAGGGCTGATAAGTGAATTGAATCGCAGACGGAGAGACGAACGGTAGACGAAACGATAGACCGAACGAAGGGGAGACCCGTGCACGAACGCAGGATGCGGCCAATGAGCCACGTAACAATTATTTATTGTTGCCAGATTGGATGCGGTGCCGCATCCAGCCGGCCGGACCTATCTGCGTCCAATGAAAATGAATGCATTGGTTAAAATCAGCCATCCTATTTGTCCGCTAAACGATAATTATATATAATGCAGACCTTCGTCAAGTAATAAGATAATTATGCGAGATATATCTACTCGACGAATTGTTGTGCTCTCTCTCTGATTCATTTACGTGCTAAATATAGAGTATATATATGAATCAATCTTAAGATTATCCCTTTGTACACTACTTACATAAATTTTTTCTTAACAAAAATGCGGAAATACGTTACTCTTTATATATATATATCCCAATTTTTCACGATAAACCTTCGTAATCAAGCTTTAAATTTGTTAAAGTAAAGTCTGATTAAAAAATTGATCAAAAAATATACAGTTTTATTATTTACATTTATATTCTTCAAATTTAGTTCCCAAAAAGATTTTTTATTTTCAACTACTAATTATGCAAGAATTATTGGACATATACATATAATTAAAAAAAATATGTGTATATATATATATAATTAATATATTAATATATTAATATTATATATTCTTAATATATTATTATTATATATTATTATATTAATTACACGTACCTGCGTAGGCGTTAAATGAATTAAAGACGCCAGATGCTCCCGTTCGGGTGCGCTGAGGTACTTTTGCTGCTTGAATCGCCTTTCGAGCTCGTAAACCTGGGCCTGGGTGAAGAGCACGCGTCTCTTCCGTCTCTGCGCGAGGGGAAACTGCATCGCGCCGACGCCCATGCCGACGCCGACCCCGACGCCGACGCCCACCCCCATCCCCGATGACTTGGTCACGTCGCCCATCGACTGGCCCACCGAGCAGCCGGCCATATTGGTCCCGGCGCCCGCCGCCGCGGCGCCCATTAGTCGCGAGACTGCAAAACATATTGAAGAAATCGGGAATGATACTTTGCGAGTATTCTTTTTCTTCTTATACGTCTATACGTAAATCGCTCGTACGCTTTCGTGACGAAAAAATTTTTAAAGATATGTACGTCAAATTCTTTATTAGATTCGCGATAACATCAATCATTTCAATATTGTAGCTTTATTTCTCTGTCTCTCTCTCTCTTTTTCTTTGTGAATACATTTAAATTTAATATTATTGATACATATAAATTTGATAATAAAATTTCAAAATTTAATATTTTTATTACAAAAATTAATTAAAATTATTAAAATTATTATTTCAAAAGCATTGCAAAAATCTTTTTAAGTTTTTCAAATTCTGTAAAATATAAATGAAAAAGAGTATTTTTTTAAATTTTTTCATTATTTCTTGACATATTGAAGAAATCGGGAATGATACTTTGCGAGTATTCTTTTTCTTCTTATACGTCTATACGTAAATCGCTCGTACGCATTCGTGACGAAAAAATTTTTAAAGATATGTACGTCACAAATTCTTTATTAGATTCGCGATAACATCAATCATTTCAATATTGTAGCTTTATTTCTCTGTCTCTCTCTCTCTTTTTCTTTGTGAATACATTTAAATTTAATATTATTGATACATATAAATTTGATAATAAAATTTCAAAATTTAATATTTTTATTACAAAAATTAATTAAAATTATTAAAATTATTATTTCAAAAGCATTGCAAAAATCTTTTTAAGTTTTTCAAATTCTGTAAAATATAAATGAAAAAGAGTATTTTTTTAAATTTTTTCATTATTTCTTGCTTTTAATTTTATGCAATTTTAAAATCTGATGCAATACGCTAATCTACAAATCATATTCGTTTTTGAAATGCAAAAGTTTATAAGAATCACATAATCTGGTTTAAAATAAAAGTCGTTTAATTTTATCGAAATTATCTATTAATTTTCTAAAGAATTTTAAAGAAGCTCTTTATATGCGTTTGTTTGTGTGAAAATCATGCCACGCAAATAAATATAGTCGAAAAGAAACTATTGAATTCGTTATTCATTACCGAAAAATGGAAGTTATTGTTTTCGTTACAAATAAAGCTCCGTTACTTCTCAACCCTATTGATCATAATATGCAATAATAAAGGAATCATATTCTTGATGCAGAATAATATTTGCATGAAATGTACGTAAGATAGACATATACAAATTCGTAACAAAATTTCAAAATTATTACGCGATGACTTATCATAACTTCGATTATGCATTGGATTATAACACATTCACATTTTTGTCGCAAGTATACGCCTAAGCCGAGCGATTCTCTCCGAGCTACCGAAAGCTATCCAATGGCTCCGCGCGAGCGAGAGCGGTCGTCTATCCCTTGTCAGTTGGCGAGGAGCTGTCAAAGATGAACCTCGCGCGGACAAAGGGAACGATTTAGACGCTGCAAAGTGCTACGTCACCACGGTGCACGGGAGGTCCCGGGATGAAGTCCCGAATTATTATGCCCACGAGAACGAACCGTATTCTCCGAGCCGTCAGTTGAGCCGAGGGCGAGAAAGAAATACCACTTGAACGCAGGAACAAACACCGTCAAATTTGTTTACCTCCGCTTTTGGCTGGCGCGCCCGTCCTGGAGAAATCCTGGAGCCCAGAAGAGCGTATAAACGAAAGCAATACTATATTATTGCTCGCGAAAAAAAAAACGGTGGATTCTTTTTTTCTGTCGGGATACCCCTCCTCCTCTCTCATTACGCGGATATCCGGTGCGAGTTGTACACGATAGCCTATATTCGATAGCCGATTCGAGCACTCGACGATCACCTCGTCTCTTCCAGCGCCCAGTCACGGGACATCTCGTCCTGCATTTAAATTAATCAAAACTGGCTTGCTTATCGCGCCAAATTTCATCAGGTGTTTATTCACAAATTCTTTATTAGATTCGCGATAACATCAATCATTTCAATATTGTAGCTTTATTTCTCTGTCTCTCTCTCTCTTTTTCTTTGTGAATACATTTAAATTTAATATTATTGATACATATAAATTTGATAATAAAATTTCAAAATTTAATATTTTTATTACAAAAATTAATTAAAATTATTAAAATTATTATTGTATTTTTGTCCCAAATTCCAGATAAAGAGAATATTTTAAAGATTTTTTAGTGCAACTTTTTTTATTATATGCGTTTTCTAATACTTTTCATCCATACGAAGAAAAAACAAAGAACCATTTAAGTACTAGATTTGCAAATATATTGAAAAAAAATTGAACAGTTTTCGTAAGATAAACATTTTTCATTTACATCTTCATTTTTTATCACTAAAAATTACAATAAAGAATATGTGTTGTATATTCAATATTTTGTTAAAACATTGATTGTTTACTATATAAGAGCAAAATTATCAAAGAATGAATATTTTAAAAAATTTCTTTCCAATAAAATTCCACGAGATTCCCTGATTTTTCCAAATACAAAATAAATCCCAGACAATATCAAATTTTCCATGTTTTTCGAGGAAGTAGACACCCTCTTGATTATCCTATCTAAAATTTTCTAACAAATTTGAGCGTGCGGAATATGATCTCTTAACGATGCAGCAAAACCCTTTCTAAAGATCCTTGTCTCTCCTAAAGGATTTTTTCTTATTTATTCATAAATTATTTTATTATAAATTTACATATAATTCCAGAAGCGTGCGCGCGAAGTCTTTTTCCGTATAGTATTGAAATGCTATTATTACTTGGCGTTAATGATTAGTGCCGCTAGAAATTTCTCGTAAATCATACCGACGACGTAAATTATCATGTTCTCGCGTGATGCACAGATCCCTTTTAGGGATCCGCTTGTCAGCGATCACGGAGAACAATGGATACGGATGGACGGGATGTTTCGATTCGTAACTTCTGCCAATACACCAAAGCAGAGATCCCGATGTGAGAGATGGGCGAACAACGCGCGTGCAGGCAACTCGTTAAATAAATTGACGTTTCTCCAACGTCTACCTGACCACCGGCGTCGCGCTCTACCCTCAACGTCGAACAGCCGCATCGTTTCGAAACGTAATTATGTGGCATGGCAACTGAGGTGAGAGACGAGGGAAAGCGCCGCACCTCGGCTCTTCAGCTTCCAATTAGGTGACAAAAGCCGAAGATTTCTCGCTCCGAATCACGGACCGGAATTCGTGTACCGCCCACAGCGTGAAACGTGTCCAATCCGACAGGATAAGAGCTATCTCGTTTAATTGCGCATAATTAATTTAATTCCATGTGTTAACTTTATAATTATTACATAATTCTGATATATTAGTTAAGTTTAACTCCACTCGTGTTGTACCTCACGTAAAATCGTCTAAGCATATTACATGATCTATAATTTACTAGATGGAATCCGTAACAGAATCCTATTCACGTAATTTCACGTCGTGCACAATACATTACAAATGAAATTTCACACACACACATACGTCTATATGTAGAAAATAGTTTAATTAGAATCAACAAAGATTAAAACTCGTAATCAAGCTCATAAAATTCAAATAATATCTATAATTTTTTATTTTAATTCTCATGTAATTATATTTCTTTTCATAATATTACTTCTATAATGTATCTGTAATACAGAATCCGTTTCTATAATTGTGAATTGCTGGTCATGATAAACAAGCTGGATAAAGAATAATAAAGGATAATAAAGAGAATCATATTGTTGTTAACGCAGATAAAGTGTGTGCGTAAAATGCGATTTATAAAAAAAACGTAAAAAAACTTTAATGACGTACTAAATAACGTGACACGAACATGAGATCAGAAGCTTTTAATAGAATAGTTGTTGAAATGCAAATTACGAACGCGTAACAGTACGTTTGATCGGTACAATGTATCATCGAAAGACGTCAAACTGCCAGTAACAACAAAACGCTAGATTTCTCAAGGAGACTGGAGAGAATATCGTAGTAAAAATTACAATATAATTTTTGTAATCGAACACATACATACTAACATATAAAAGAAATCATGATATTTTTATTCAATAATATTATATATATATATTTATATACCGTTATTTTAGAAAGAGGTATTGTAATTATTCAAATATTTTGATGCATAAAACGAATTAATAATCATTAAATTTACAATTTTTAACGATATTAGGTTACAATTTTTATAGCAATAAATACTAATGTTATATTTACAAGCTTAATTGAAAGCTTTACAATAGATGTTGTAAAAGAGAATGTATTCTTCATGTAATTTGTACTGTACAATTTTCTCCGTAATTGATTCATGATAAATACACTTATATGACTTTTAATACACGGATTATATAAAAATTGATGACTATTAATAAATCACGCAAGCATGATTAAAATAAAATAAAAAAAAAAAAAAAAAAACTAGAAGATTTATTCATTTATAATAGGATATTTAGAAAAGCATTTTTTGATGTTATAAAAAATTCGGTAATTTAATATATCGTCAAGTTATTTTCCAATAAATTTTCATATTATACTTTCCGTTTCCAGTCATGGACTTTATCATTTTATAATTACACCGTCAAATTGGAATTTGGAAAACTATGAACTTGAGCGAAACGCGGGGAGAGCGATTCGTTTGAGGAGGGTTTTTCCCGCGATCCGTATTTATCTTACGAGGGGAAGGGGGAAGAAGAAGGGAGACGAGAGATAAGTCCCGCGAAATCGAATTCGAACGGCGTATCCGCGTCTCCCGGGCCTTTAAACTCGAGAGAGAGAGAGAGAGAGAGAGAGAGAGGACCGGTCCCGCTTATATTTGTTTAACTAAAATCCTCCGCGCGTCCGTCCAGCGGTCCCTCCGTCGCGCTTTCTCGAATTCTGGATCGATATATACGTATGTATATACGGAGATCGCCTCCATCCAGAGTGGCGCGTGCGACGGACGAAAATCCACTCGGGACGAACGCCTGTTGACACAAGTCCTACGAAAGATGCGGCGCATTGTTGGCCGACGGTGGTATG